GTAAAAATGTCAAATTCTGTGTTTTTCTGTCAATATGGGGTGCTGTGTGTACATTAATGAGGAAAAAAAATGAACTTAAATGATTTTAGCATATGGCTGCAATATAACAAAGAGTGAAAAATTTAAGGGGGTCTGAATACTTTCCGTACCCACTGTATTTTAACATTTTGTGTTTCTCGGTACTTAATGGGGCCAATGAAACATCAAGCTTTCCTTTGAATACTGATCACTTCTTATAGATGGATAGTGTTTTTCTCTTTGGTTCCTAGGAACAGAAAGTCTCTCAAGCTGCTCTCTGGTTGGTGCAGACCCACCACATCTAAAGGTCAGAGGCCGTGTCGTGTCAGGGGTGTGACGACTCTCGATTCTGCAGCTGTGACGTCTTTCCTTACAGAGCATAGGATGAGTCTGGTGTGGGTGCGGATGTTGCTGCTGTCGAAGGGCAAACCAGAGCTCCATGCCATGGTGTGTGTGCCAGTCACAGAGGACATCAAGCAGCTGAGCAAAGACACTGACAGCTGCGGCCCCCAGGAGCTACCACACAGAAACCACTTTAAAAGCAAACTCAAACACAGCAAGAAGGGCTCCAAGAAAGCTGCTGCATCCTCTTTGTTCTCTGATAAGAGTGAGCGTAAAGGGGTAGGCAATCCATCTGCCTCTGAACCACAGCTCACCACTTCTCCTGCAGACCGCAAATCATTCCATCAGTCTTCAGAGGATCCCATCTTCGGGCTGTGGCCAGATCCTCTGCCGAGTGTCACCTCTCACTGCTCCCGAGTGACTCTGGGTTGGGTTACACAGGGTGACTTCTCCCTGTCTGCTGGCTGTGGGGAGGCTCTTGGGTTTGTCAGTGTTGCTGGTCTCCTCAACATGCTCCTCAGCCAGCCAATGGAGCACAGAGGAATAGTGCTGTTGCGCAACCCCACCTCCTTGTATTATCGCTTTGCCAAAATCAACATAGATGTCTGACTGAAACACCTGTGCCTATTTCCAAAAAATACTGAATTCTACATGAATGGAGAAAGATAAAACCCGCCTTCAGTGGTGAGGCCTATGGCTAGACGCTTAATTAACGTAGTGATCCTCGTGCCTTGATAATCACTTCTTTGCATTGTGCCAGTGTTTACCTACAGTGTTGGCTAAAGATAAGACTAAAGAAGTGCACGTGGCATGAATCTAAGCTACCTGGTGTCAGTGCTGGAAAGAAAGGAACATCCTCATTGTTTCAGTTGAATAAGACTGTTTTTGCATATTTCTTTTCTTTATCAGGAGCGCTTCAGACTGGGGTCAGTAAAATACTGCAACTGAATGAAAGGTTTTCAAAAGGAAGTAATTTCTGGCTTATTTTACATCACTTATCACATCCAACGTAATGATACCAAGTGTTTTGCTGGTATAGAATTTGAAAGAAGTAAGATTGAGTTAGAACTTTAGAAATGTATCAGCTTCTGTTTAAAAGTGCCACATCCAAAAGGTTTTGTTTGAACATAAGCTAATAAAACACCTGTACTGCAACTAACAGAATGTAATGTGGGTAACTGTCACCTTCACATGTTTAAAGCTGTATGAGTGTTACAGCACACTTAACTGTACCTATACCCATGCTTAAATACATACTCTAACCTGGCTGTTAAGTAAATGCACTGAAAAGCTACTACTTTAACACTGGTTCTTTTTTTATAGTTACACTGGCATGAACAGTTGTTTCCCACACATCCCATAATGTGTGGGTGGCAGATACGAGTTTTGTTGCTTGGCAACACTAAAGTTTGGTAGCACTTCAGTTGACTAGTCTAAAGTAAAGATGGGCAGGCGGGCCATGCATTACAACTTATTAGAGGGCTTGAAATGAATCAAGTATTTCCCACATAAAATTAACCCTGAGATATAAATGTGAGCAAATGAGACTGATGAGCCATGAAGGAGGATTATAGCAATAATGGTACTACTTTTCTCTTCAGCTCAATTGAATTCACATAACACAAAATCAGTTATCTGGTCATCCCTGAGCATCCCTAACCATTAGAGGGCAGTAGTGCACAACTATTGGGAGTTTTACCTTTGTTTGTTGATAACTGATCATGTGAGTTTGTTCACTTGACATAATTTCTATGTTTTAGCAGAAGGCATTAGTCACAGTGACCTCCAGGACCTTTTTAATTAAAATTGCTGCTAGTAAAGCATTTGATGTTTCACTTTGATCCTCGGAGAATTTTTCCCTTTTATTCTCACATTTCTGGTAGGGTTGCTGATACTAACTAACACAAAAGAACATTTCTATGGGCAATTTTTGACAGATACTTCCCACTTTACATGTAAAATTTTACACCAATATGGTCACCAGTACTCATGTGCTACTGGCATTGGTTCATTTCTTTCTATAGATAGATGGTTTTGATGTACCCAGGAAAAATTAGAGTCCCAGCAGATGGAGCTGATCCTATGAATCATCTGTTGGGCCAGCTCTGTTGCACATGAATTTGGCTGCCAGCGATCCATATGTTGTACTCTCTGCCTCAGGCTGCACTTTGTCTGTGTGCCTTCTCCCTGTGAACGAGGACAGCACAGTTCATTAGATGGACCCTGCTGCCAAGGCTGCAGACATTAGCAGTTCGAGAAATCCAGGGTCACCACCAGCACATTCATACAGTCACTGCAGGCCAATCAATGCTCTACATTTAATACAAGTAGGTCATCTTGCAACATACTTTTTGAAGAGACCTGATTAAAAGTTGTTCAAAAGTTACCAGGTATCCTGTCCATTGCAATAAAATTGCGGTCTGGTTGCTTTATCTTTGGCCTCCTTCGTGCTATCAGGAAAACTCCAAGAAAAGACAGAAGACAACTGGAAGAGAGAATCAGGGAGAAGTGTCACCATCTTACATACAGTACGTATTACATTTTAATACAATGTAACTAATGTGTGCTTTTGAACACTTACCCAAATGAGAACATAAAAATATTAAGTAAAGCCAAGCCTTCAAATTCCTGGTAAAATACTATCCCTGCAAAATGAAGGAAAAGAAAAGATAAAATGCATGTCATTTAACACAGAATAATTGAATGCCAGGCTCTGTTTTTGAAATGCAGCCAGAAATTCTTGAGCACATGCTGCAAGGGGATGGTGAAAGGAAGGAATTTTATCATTAACTGAAGGTTGTAGTTCTTAATAGAGGAGCAGCAACACAGAAAATGTTCAGGGTCACCGATTAACCCTTAAAAAAAATCTTCTGATCATTTCAGTAGTAGAAAGTTGGCAAAGAACAGTCTGTATCTTCACTTTTCCTGTGTTCACTTCACTGTTCAGGAATCTACTGCTTTAACTACCACCAGGTTACAACTAAAACAGTAATTTACTTCATGCTGGAACAAAGCTAATCTTAAAAGAGAAGTCCTCCCCCGGATGTTCTTATACTGCCAGATTCAATTCCTCATCAATTTGTTGCTCAGAGCAGTCATCTGGGGGCTATATGTGTAGGCAGAGACAGCAGTAGTACTACCAAGAGCAATATTAGAGCAGGGGGTTTTCAGAAGAGGCGAATAACTCAAAATGTCACGTGCCTTGTGGCTCTGCATCCTCTATGAAGGATTTCTCCCTGTGTGATTAGTAAAATAGTGGGTCTTTTGTTCTATTGGCACCAAAAGCTGATATTGTTGTAATGTTGATGTTTTGGACTGCTGGAACATTCTCTCCTATTATACTCCACTGAAGCAGCACCAGGAATGACTCAAAGTGATGTCACATCAGTGGCGGTTGGGCAGCATAGATAATAAAGACCTGACCTGGCAGAATATACATGCTATAAATACTGTGGTTCTTTTGCTGAACAGTGACTTCTACAGTATGTGGTGCATATACAGTATGTACAAGTGAATCACCATCTTGACTGCATTGTGTCATGAACTGATTACCTGCTGCAATGAGATTTGACTGAGTGTACATATAATTCTGATACTATTTTAGGTTTTTCTCATTAACAGCAAATCCTGTCAAAAGATCCAATCCAACAATGTGTTGGTCCACAGTAGCCTGCTGGTTCCTATTAACAAGATCAATTTTACAGGTCCATCATTTCAGAATAATTTTCTAATAGTTATCAAAACAGCCACAACACAGAGAGGAGGCACACACACACCACCCAACCCTCCACCTCCCCTCCACTAACTGTCTCACCAGGCCAGGTACGCACAGTCCTGAGGAAGATCAACCCCCGCAAAGCGGCAGGACTGGACAACATCCCTGGAAGGGCTCTCAGGGCATGTGCCAGCAAGCTGGCCAATGTTCTCACCACTATCTTCAACCTCTCCCTCAGCCAGAGCATCGTTACCACCTGCTTTAAGACCATAACCATCGTCCTCCTTCCCAAGAAGAACTTGGTCACCTGCCTGAACGACTACAGGCCAGTGGCACTCACCCCAATTATTAGTGTTTTGAGAGAGTGGTGCTGGCCCGCATTCAGAGCAGTATACCGGACCCCCTGGACCCCCTGCAGTATGCCTACCAGCCCAACAGGGCCAACTCAGATGCCATCACGGCTGCCCTCCACTATTCCCGTTCTCACCTGGAAAATGGAGACTCCTACATCAGGATCATCTTCAC